GTCTGACGGCTGAGCACTGATAACTGCATTTCAACATAGTTTCCCAGCCAGCTGTGCTCTCATATAGCCACACATTCACCCAGACCACATTTCTCCATTGCTCACAAGAATTGTTCAACTTACTCATCAGTGACTTGAATGAAGGGACAGAGTATATGCTCAGCAAGTTTGCTGGTGATACAAAACTGTGAGGAGTGGCTGATACAACCTAACGCTGCGCTGCCATTCAGTGAGACCTGGAGAGGCTGGAGAGATGGGCAGAGAGGAACCTGATGAAGTTCAGCACAGGCGAGTGCAGGGTCCTGCACTTGGGGTGCATGGAATAACCCCATGCACCAGTACAGGTTAGGGGTTGACCTGCTGGAAAGCAGCTCTGCAGAGAAGGACCTGTCCAAGAGCCAGCCAGCAATGTGCCCTTGAGGCCAAGAAGGCCAGGGGTATCCTCAGCTGCATTAGGAAGTGTGTGGCCAGCAGGTCAAGGATGTTATCGTCCTCCTGTACTCTGCCCTGGTGAGGCCACATCTGGAGTACTGTGTCCAGTTCTGGGCTCCTCAGTTGAAGAAACACAAGGAACTACTGGAGGGGGTCCAGGAGAGGGCTACAAATATGATCAGGGGTCTGGAGCATCTCTCTTATGAGGAAAGGGTGAGAGAGTTGGGCCTGTTTAGCCTAGAGAGGACTGAGCTATTATCAGCACATACAAATATCTTAAGGGTGGGTGTCAAGAGGATGGAGCCAGACTCTTTTCAGTGGTGCCCAGTGACAGGATAATGGGCAGCAGGCACAGACTGAAATGCAGAAAGTTCCATCTGAATATAAGGGAGAACTTCTTTACTTTGAGGGTGTCAGAGCACTGGAACAGGCTGCCCAGAGAGGTTGTGGACTCTCCTCTGGAGATAGTCAAAACCCACCTGGACATGATCCTGTGCAACCTGCTTCAGGTGAACCTGCTTCAGAGGGGAATTTGGATCTCCAGAGATGATATCCAGAGGTCCCTTCCAACCCCAAACATTCTGTGATTCTGTGATTCATGTGGCAATGGGACTAAACTCCCACGAAAGTCAGGTTTTAGCACCTTATTTTTCCTGTGTCAGTCATCACAGGAATCCTCAAGTAGAAGAAAATTCAGTTGGTTTGGCTCTTAGCTGATGGACAGAGCTGTCACCTCCGTAGAGAGTTCATTATCTCTACTCACATGTTGTGTCCCTTAATGATGTATTTGCCTGTCTCCTATCTGTTTATCCCAATGGCCATTTTTTCCTTCAGTTCTGCACCCCTGGACTCGAGTAAAGCTCAGGAACTTGGAAAGCCACAGAGGTTCGTTTGGGAAAAAATAATGAGGGGAGGGGACACAACTGCTCAACAACAACTAAATCCTCGGAACTCACATGTTTATCCAAATTCATCTGAACCTTCTGGGGACAGTGACTTTTTAGGGTAAAATAAAAACAAGTTCAAGTGAGTTTTCCATCTCTGCGACAGTACAGTGATTCCAGCCAATCTGAAATAATTTTCCAAGAAGATTTCCTGCAACCTCACAGTGATTAAAGGAAATAACATTGTGAATAAAGGGACATTCTTCAAAGTCAATGAAGGAGCCACAAACTGTACATTCTCACAGAGAGCCGGAAAGCGCCGGCGTGAGGTGGATTTTGCAGCATGTGGCCCCCCAGAAGGAAGAGGGTGGGATGTCTGCTCCGTCCCTCTTCCCCAGGCAGGGGTTGTGACCGGGCTTCTCCCAGAGCAGGCGGTGAGGGAAGAGGTCCCACAGGCTCCCCGTGTTTGAGGGTGAAAGGCTCGGCCCTGCAGGCTTTGACCCCTGGCTCTATCTGCTGGGTTTGGTGTCAGGGACTCGATGTCTCTCTGCAAAGAGATGCCCATTGACCATCTCAAAACCCAGAGAGATCCTGGAGAGACCCAGCGTTGCACCACAGCACCTTCACGCCAAATCCTCATTCCTGGGAACTTCCATGCACCTCACTTTGTCTGAATCAAAACCTCAGTGTGTTCAACAGGCTGGGCTCTGAGATTGACATGGAAATGTGAACGGGCCCGAAAAGCCACTTTAGTGGAGGTGAAAGCTCTGCACTGTACTGCTGGGCAAGTAGAGTCCTGCCTGCTGCAGCCCCAGCCCTCATCAGCCCCTCTCGCTGTGGGTACCCCAAGACCATCGAGGGAGGGATGAGTGCGCACCACAAACGGCTGGGCCAAGGGGGCTTTGAAAAACCCGCCTGCTTAGCTAAAACAAAGAGAAGGGAGTAACGAGGAAAGCTGGGGAGAAAGCCACAAACACACATGCTTCAGTTGATGCTGCGTAATAAGGGAATTAACTAATGAGCTTACTGCGGCACATAGACAAGTCCTTTAGAAATGTCATGGCCACCTGGGGTGGCTCGAAGAGGAGCCGGGCGGTCCTCATCGGCTGGAAAGATGAGGCCCCATCCCAGTCCCCCGGGAACAGGCCCACTTCCCATTGGGCAGCACACATCCGGGGGTACCGGGGGGTGACACAAATGCAACGAGAACTGTAACAAACAGTGTGAGCAGCCCACGTTCACGGCTCATCTTAGAGGGCTGCAGCTCAGCAGCCCCACAACACCCGTGCAGTGTGGCTGAGGATGCTCAAGGTCCAACTCCCCCAGACAAGCAGCACTGCACTGGGCTGCTGGCATAAGGGGCTTCAGGAAGCATGGATCACCTTCTCTACAGCTGTGATGGATATGCAGACAATATAAATAGAACTCCAAAATACAGATTGTTTTTGTGAAAGCTGTTCAAATACAGCTGTACACAATCTGGGATGAACGCAAATTCAAACATAAGTGTGTGTGAACGTGCTAATTTGAACAGAAAGTGGGTGAGAGAACCTAATGCTAAAAGTCACTTAGAACAATGCAAACATTAAATATACAAATATTCATCAAATACTTATTTAGAAAGTGGCTTTTAGACAGCGATCAGCCTGGGCTGCAAGGAAAAGTATTTACTGATTAATACTGAGCTCATGGAGGAATTTGTGCATGTGGCAGTATTTGCATGAATTAGAGCAGGGAAAGCATGAACGCTGGTGAATTATACACACACACACACACACACACACACACACCCCCCGAGAAAAAAAAGAGAAAAGCAAAAATCCAAGCCAAAAATGAGGCTCCACGTAAAAATTTTCTCCCACTTTAGTGAGGACACAACCAAACACAGACATTTGCTGGGAAGGTGAAATTCTGGCATTTTTGTTATTATATTAATGTTGTGAAAAATAAATATAAAACTTATTCAGTATAAAAATTACTGAATATTTTCTTACCCAAAAAGAATGAGATTGAAAACTATTTTATGGAAAACATTTTCATTTAACTTTTCAATGGGTTATTTTGAAACAAATTTTTTGTTTCATTTTCTTAAACCAGAAAGCTGTCCAAACATTTTCATGTTTTCCTTGTCTTCTTTTTCTCCCCTGCCCTGAAGCTCCTTGAAGACAGCCTGATATTCGCACCAGATTTCCTCCTCTTTTCCCATTTTTTATTCCCTACACTGACACTTTTCAAGCTTTGGCACTCTGGTAAAAGGGAAAAAAAGAAACATGCAATATCACTGATAGCAGTTGAAGGGCTGTAGGAATAACAGTAATTGAAGAAAGAAGAAAATATTTTCAACGATTTCAGTACTTTTTTAGCTGTAGTAGAAGCAATTTGTGCCTGCCTAGAAAATGGTGGGATTTACAGTAAATGAGCCTGGATTTTTTTTTTGTTGTTGTTGTTCTTTTCAAAAGGATTTGGGTTTTTGTTGTTTTCTTCTTCTATTTTTCTTTTTTTCTTTTTTTTTTTTTTAACAGGGGAAAATCAGGAGCTATTTTCTGGGACTCTGTTCTCCAATCAGCCGGGATGATCTAGGCTCAGTGGACACAAGGGGAGGGCAGAGCACCAGGAGCAGAAGTGGGGCTGGGGAAGTAGTGGTACCCCAGCCCATCTCGGGGCTCAGCTCCCATGCTGCCAGCTGGAGAGTGACAACCTCCCTCTCCAGCAAAGGAGGCTGCTGCTTCTCCCATAGCCAGACCCTCTGACCGGGCTCAGAGGTGACATCACAAGTACGGATGATCCCAATAGTTGTCACAGCAGCGGGTGTGCGGGGCTGCAGAGGAGATGCCATCACTGGGCAAAAGGAGCTCACACACTTGCAGTGTGGCTAAAGGGAGGAAAAGTGCCAAGAACGGTGTCTGGGAAGGAGCAGGAGATATCCCCTTGTCTTTCCAGATGGTCACCTCTGTCCTAACTCAGAGCCCAGGCAACTAGAGTGCCATGAGGTCCCCATCCCATGCAGGGATGTGGCTCTGATCTTTGCTGCTTCCTAGGGCCCACCAAAGGGGGGGCAGACAGGGGCTGACAACTCAGCCCCTTGCTCCCTTTGCACCAGGGTCCTTCCCCAGCTCCCTGCATCTCTGAGCATCTGCCATGGGACATGGGACAGACCCATGCCGAGGCAGGGGACTGTCACTGTGCAGAAACGAAGTAATAGTGATGATTATTTATTTTCCAAATAAATCAGTGGGTCCTGAAAGAGAAGGGCTGGAAAACAGCGAGTTTAGATTAGACCCTCCCCAAACCCCGGCTGGGCCTTGAGCCGCTGTCAGGGCTGCAGAGAAACAGCAGCAAACTCTCACGCAAATGGCCTATAAAAAAGGCCCCTGTCAAAGGCACCTTGACCTGGAGGCTCACTTTGGTGCTGGGCTCCCCAGCAGCCCTCCCCTCCCAGGGCTGCGCTCTCCTCGCATGATGTATTTCCCCTGCCTTTTTTAGAGCTGCATTATGTTAGCTCCAGGAAACAGCCTCTTCCTTCTTATAAACACAGCCCTGGGTTACTGACCAGCGGCCCTGCCACTCCACAGCCACTCTCTGTCCATCCATCACACCTCGCTGTCACCCTGGCAACATATCTCTTGGACCGGACCGGCTCCAGAGATGGGAGAGGCAAGGAGGGGGGGAGCAGAGGAGGGGGGTCACATACACAGAGCACAATTCCAGCCTGCTGACTAATTCCCTGGAAACCCTGGGGCTGCACAATGAGAAAGCCTTTCCGAGGGTTTCTCGAGCGTTACTGGAAGGTCAGGCGAAGGTCAGCGCAAGGACATGGCTCCTACTTTCCCTGCCGTCAGCAAGGGCGGGTGTGCAGGGCGGACGTGGCGGAGCCACAAGGGTACGGCGAGCGCAGCGGGAGGGATGTTTGGAGAAGGGCGCCTGGGCCCAGGACACGGCACGGTGCCCGCTCACCACTGATGGGCGCAGGGGACGTGCCTGGGATGGGGCTGGCAGGGTGTCCCGGCAGCCAGACAGGCGTCGGAGCTTCCAGCGGGATGGGGTATGGCCAGCGGTGTGGCCTTTTGGCTCCCCAGCAAAGTGGGGGACAAGGAAGGGAAGAGCTGCCTTGGCCTCGTGCTAATTCCCAGCCACATTTGGAACAGCCTCATTGCCCTGGGACTGTTGGCCTGACATGGCATCACTGCACGGGTCATTCCCAGTGCAGGAGGGATCCTGCAGGAGAGCACCAAGATGAGTCCTGGGGAGAGCATCCCATGGCTTCCAGTGTGCTGGGCATCACCAGCACAGGAGCCATATGAAGATTCCCAGGTTACCCTGCCACTGCTCCCACAGGGATGCATTTTGGATTAGCCTTGGGCCCACCCAGCTTCTTGCATGCATGGCCAAATCACAGCAACCACAGCAGGAGGGGTCTGGCTTTACCCAACTCCTGAAACACCATCCTCGCCTGTCCCCACCTGCTTGTCCTTCATGTCAAGCCATTGTCTCCAAGAGGAAATGCCATTTAAAGGGAGGTATTTTAAAAGAAATGGGAGATGTCTGCTCCCCGCACAACACAGCGCAACACAGCGCTTCACTTGTGCCCATTCCCAGCGTATAGCTAGGAGTCAGGTTTACATGGGGATAAAAAAAGAAAAAGGCAAAGCTTTTAAGGACAGATCTTCACAAACCCAAACCAAAGCCCCATAAGGGCAAATCCTTTCTAATCCATGCTCTTCCTTAGAGGTGTAAGTGGAGTGGAAGGGTGGAGGGAGAGATTTAAATCTGGAAAACTGAGTTCCCCATCCCTTTGGTCTGGCAGAGGGCCCACCGATAGACTAAAAACAAGTCTGCAGAGAAGCCTGTGTGGGATAATCCAGCCCTGGCCCCTGAGGGGACGAGAACAATTAGGAATCCTCTCTCAAGTCTCCACTCAAAGATAGAAAAACAGTTTATAATTTGGTCCGGAGTTGTTGTTAGAAAGTTCTGAATCATCAGGATACACTAACAATTCCTGTGCTGTAATTACGAGGAGAATTCATTAGGCGGACTCAGAGACAAACTATTAACAGAAGCTTCCAAATCTCCCACCTGCCTGCCTGCATGCGGAACCCAGGGGCTGCTCTATTTATACAGCGGCCATCAGTGAGGAGCTGTCGCAGGAGGGAGCAGTACGAGCAGCCATGGCAAAATATGGAAAGTATTTTAAAGGAAAACTCAAGGATGGGTGTTTATTAGAAGCATGCAGACCAAGTGCACATTCCACCATTAACCTTTCCAAGCACAGTAGTCAGCCAGGGAGCGGTTTGCCTGTGTTGCTCTGGAACATGCTACAGTACCAACTCACAGCAACCACAGAAAAACCCTCCACAGAGCTGGAAGCTGCCCATAGTGGCCTCTGAAAGCAATGTGAAAATGCCTTTTAGCTGAACCTGCCAGGCCCTTGTCCCGTATTTACCCAGAGGGGACAGAATGGATGAGGTTCTCCAGCCCCCGTCTTCCTCCCTGTCCCACAGCTACAGGTTGTTGCAAGGCAGAGGGATATTTGTGCACAGCCCTGCTGAGCTGGCTGGTGGTGAGCTGCAGCTGAGAAGATGAAGCCAAGCAACAGCCCCTGGCTGCGGGTGCCCCTCAGAGCCCATGGCAGCACCTATAGATGAACACCAGCAGGGCTGTGTGAGTGCCACCATGGAGAGGCAACTGCCCATGCACCACCGCAAGTGTGTGCTCAGCCAAGGTTGCAGCTTAGCTTCTGCCAGTCCTGGTTTCTGCATCCTTTGTCAGCCCAATTACCCCCAAAACCATCCTGGCAAACCCTCAGCTGTGTGCCATTTTTGGTGCAGATTTGCCAGCTTCAGGGACAGACATGCCCAGGATGGCCTCATCCACATGGAAACAAGCCCTGCTTGCAGCTGGAGGAATCTTGATTAAGCAGGGAGAGAAGTGGGGACTGGCTGCCAGGCAGATACCCTAAACAAGAGGAGCTTATCAGCTCTGTTTCCAAGATGAGACATGTGTCACCACCTTGCAGAGATCCAGCCAGCCGCTTACTGCTCACCAGCACGCCTGTACAGAAGCAGGGCAGCTTCCCTCTCCCCACAGGATGCTGTAGAAATAGCCACTGAATAATGTGCAAAATATCTTCTAGAAAAGGCTTTGCTCGAGCTAAGGAAAGCATTGCACCCAGAATGCTTCAGGGAAAAGCGCTGGATGGGAATGGGAGCCAGCATGCAGCTGTGCTCCCAGCCTGTGTGTTTGTCAGTGGCCGGCCCCAGCAGCAGCACAGGAGGTCCCCAGCCCAGAAACACCAAGTGCCGTGGACACCAAGGGACTGCTCCCCCGGCACACATGCAGCACGGCCCGACACGGCTAATCCTTCCTGTATATTATGTAATAAAATGCTTTCTAGACCTGTTAAACTTTAATTGGTTTAATCTTAATTGTTCCCTTTTCTACAGTATATGCAAACACAGAGCCTGACCCTGACACTCTCCTGTGAACTGTCCCACAGGCTGCGGTGGGAGCAGGATGAATCCTGCTGACCTCAGCAGGATTATATGCATGAATCAGAGCTGCAGGCCTGGGCTTGGAGCTGAAATCCAGCGCCAGGCCGGCTGCCAGTTCAAGGCCCAGGGTCCACTTAGGCTCCACTTAAGCCCTATGGGATGTAAGTGGTACGTGGGCCTGTGGATGCAAGTGGCGAGCAAGCCTCGTGCTGGGCCTCTTCTGCTGAAGGATGAATTTCAGCCTGGCTTCTTAACCTCATGAATTCAAACATGCAACAACGGCTTCTGAAACATGGAGCAAAGGCGCTCCCAGAAAGGCTGTGGGTTTTGTTTTAGCAAGTCGGTGGTGTACGTGTGTCCGCAGCACTGTCCTCCTTCTGCTGGACAGGGGACCTTCTCATCACATGAGCTGCAAGTGGTGATTTATGACAGCTTCTCCTCCAGAGGAAGAGGTGTTTTGCTACCCTCTGCACGTCCACAGTTATGTTGTGCAGCAGGGTGGCTTTGTGAAGCCTGGATATCCTTTGTGCATGAGAGACACCAAATAAAAGCAGGCAGGAGGGAGTCCTCGGCACTGACATTTCCTATCCTGCATTGCCTCAGACATAGTATGACCTTTACCTGCTCTTCCAAGTTGACTCTCACCAACCTCAATGTGTCAGCCTCAGTTTCACAGGCCCACCGGGCACAAACCAAGGGCAGCCTTCCCTTTGATGTCTAACCCTACTGAGCCCCCTGCTGAAATTACCAGCACTCTTGTATGGGCAGCTCTGATCCCACAAAATGCTGAGCACTGAACGTTGCACACAGCTACTGGTATCCCCCAAATCAAGCTCCCACCTTGGAAATGTATACATTCCTCAGGGTGCTAAAAGTCTGGTTCTGACCATCTAAAAACATGTTTCTCACTGAGGCTTTGTTTTGGGACATATTTCCAAGCCATACATCCCTGAAAGAACTGTGAAGCAAAAGTAAATCAGCCAATGCTAGTGGTGCAAGAAAATACCGAAGAACAGCAAATACGTGCAGTGATGTATTTCTTAAGGAAATAGACATTAGATGAGTGGTTCTGGGCAAAGCCAAATAAGGGGGTTCTCAGGAGGGGTGGAGGCAGGTGTCCACCAGGAGACCAGAGCACGCAGGACAGTCTGGTCACTGACTGGGCAAGGCTGAGACAGAGCAGCAAGAGATACAGAACATTGCCGGGTGAGTGTACAGTATCCCCTGCCTGGATCTGGTTCCACTGCCCGCAGAAACCTCTGTTCTCCTGAAGAATAAAGACAAAGTTTTCCTTCAAAAAGCTGTGAAAAGCAGTTACTCCTGGGCAGGCGACGCGGCTGGAGTAAAACCCGTACCTTAACCCGGGGGATGCACCAATGCGGGCACACCGGGCAGCGGAGCCCGGAGACATCCAGGACGAACCCGCCGCTCACCGTGCGGGGAGAGCGCGGCCCGGGAGCGAGCAGAGCACCGGCAGGTGTCCGTGGCGTGCGAGGCCAGGCCGGGCACGTCGCCTCCGTCAGCTCTGTCGCGCGTGGGTGCCCCGGGACCCGCCGCCTCCCCGTGGCTCGTCGCCGTCTCTGCCGTGCGAGGGCGTCCCCGGCGCGCTGCGGTTCTCACATAAATCAGGGCCGAGCCCCTGGGAAAGGGCCATCCTTCACCGGGCGCTGCTGACAGAGAACGAGAAACAGACGGGCCCTGAGATAAACCACGGCGCGCAGCGTTTACACAAGGGCAGGCTCTGTGTAAATAGAGCCAGGCACGGGGGGCAGCTCCTGGCTGCGCGGGTCCGCACTGGCCCCAGCCCGCGGGCCTTCGGGGCTGCCCGGGGCGGCGGGCAGGTGGGTGCCGCCCGCCGAAGGCCTCCTGCCGCCTCTCCGGGGCCGCTCCGCCGTCCCGCGTTGGCTTCCCGAGCGCCGGGGCTGGAGACAGGGCCGGATTAGCGTTTGTTTGTTTACGGCCATTAGTGAGGGGCCGGCTCCAGCACTCGGCACCCGCGAGACTAATGGAGCAATTAGCAGCCCTGGGGCTGATAGCATCGCCCTGGGCGAGGCCCCCGGCAGCGGACGCCTGCTACCGGGCGGCCTGCGCCCAGGGCCCCGGGGAAAGGGGGGAAGTTGCCTTCCAGCCGCGGTGTGCGAGGCCGCTGCGGGGCTACTCCCCCTTCTCCGGGCGCGAGGGGGGCTCTTGGCTCCGCTGCAGCATCCGCACTGCGAGCTCCATCCATTACAATAATCCCCTGTCTAAACAGAGCGCAGGAGCGGCCGGGACAACAAGGCTCCGCTGTAAACAGAGCTCAGGGGACGCCGCTAATGATATAAATAAAATAACCATTAATAGCCCCGTGACCCCATCTCAGCCGGCTTGGGAAGGCCCCGAAACCGCATCCCGGGACTGACACCCGCCGGCAGGTACCGGGGCTGCGCCTTACCCCGGTTTCTGCACCCTCGCTTAGGCCTGGCCGTGCCCGTCGGGCGTTATACAGGGGTGGCGTCCGCTGCGGGGCCCAAGCATCTCCCTGCTTCCTCGGCTTCTCCAGCTGGGAAATCGCCGCTCGTGTCTCGCAGAAGTGGGCCAGATCCGGCACCACCAAAGGGGGGATGCAGGCAGGAAGTCGGAGGCTAGCTTACAGCACCGGGAGCACCGGCGGGGAAAAAGGTCGTGATACGGCAGGGGTGCTCCTGTGCGTGTCAGGTCCCGGCTGCTGCTAGCTCCTTCCGCGGGGTGTGGGCTCCCCGAGCGCTCTGCGTGGCCCGTGGCAGCACAATTGAGCGGGGCCCGGTGGTTTCCCGTTGTTTGTTAGAGCAAAGCCCACAGCTTTCTGGGAACACCTTTGCTCCATGCTTCGGCCCCGAAGAGCCGATTCCGCCCGGTTGGGGAGTCCCGTGCCTCTAGGTCGTGACTAGCTCCCGGCCTGTCCTATGGCGCCGGGCAAGTCAGACCCCACTGGTCGCTGGCCCTCAGCGGGCCGAGCCGGATCTGTAATACCGATAAGGCGATTATTGTTACTGTTACCGGGAACGCAGCGTCGGGCTTCTACTCGCACCGGCGGCACGGGGCAGAGCCGGAGCCCGATCGGGCCTGGTTATGGCGAGCGCATTTCCCCTTCCACCGTCCGCATCGGGCGGCCTCAGAACAGGAGGAAGGCGGCGGGCAGAAGGAGCGGCAAGAGAGACCGATCCGCCACTATTTATGGCGACTGGTTTGAATCGGAGCGGTGGGAACGATTCGTCCCGCCGGGGGAAAGGGAACAGGTCCCGCCGCGGGACAGGGAGCACCCCAGCTCTGTCGAAGTGAGCGGCACCGGGGCTCCCGTCCCAGCCTGCGCCGCTGGAAAATGGGGTTTTCCGGGGCGTGCGGAGCGGCGGGAGGCAGGGAAACGAGGGCACAGACAGAGCCGGTAAACGGCGGAGCCGACTGAGGGTAGAGACCCGAGAGAAGCTCCCCGGAAGGCCCAGCGAATACCCGGCCGCGGAACACTCACCTGCCCGCCTTGTAAGCCCGGCTCCCTGCGGTATCGCCTCGGCGCAGATCCGATCCCTGCGGGGCGGCAGGATTTTAATCACAACGAAAGATCTCTCCCGGGACCCCCCGCTCCTCTTTCGGTGAGCCCGCTCCCCGTGTCTCGGCGGCGCTGAGCCCTTGAAGGGGTTCTGGGACCGCAGGCAGCCGCCGCAGGGTCGCGGCACACTTCCCCGAACCGCACCGGGGTGCTCGGCCGGTATTTGGCGCAGCCCCGGTGCCGGGAGAGTCACAGTGCACAGGGGTCTCTGCAGGCTCGCTCGGAGCTTCACCCGCCTGCACGGCAGCGTGGTGACTCTGTGGAGCCGCTAGTCTCCCGTTACTGGCGGGTGAAAAGAAACGAAACGAAAGAAAACGAAAGAAATCGAAAGGAAAGACCGAAGAGTGCGGAATAACTCTCCTCGCCCTAGTCCATCGCCACCGCAGACCCGGAGTGCTCGTATGACCCGGCTCAGCCAGGCCCGGCTGGGTCTGAAAATCCCGGAGCTGAGGGGCCCGATCCGGCAGCGGCGACGGAGCGCGCATTCCCCGGGCGAGCGCGCTGCGCACCGGCTGCGGAGAGGCCGGGCGAGCTGCCGATGGGCCGGTGGCGGGGAAATATAAGGGGGCACCTGCGGGGGGCATCGGGGGATGCGAAATGGGTCGGGTATGTGTAATGCGCGGGACGGCGAGGTGGCCGTCGGCTTCGGGAGGAGTGCGGGACGAGAACCTCCTCTCCACGCAGCGTTTCGGGCGGCGGGAGGTACTTGCGGGGCCAGGCAGCCGTGCCGGCGGTGCGACGAGGCCTGGACGGCGGGACAGCGCATGTTCGCCCCTCCCGGGGCCGGTCCTAGCCGTGTGCGGGCCGTGGCCGCCGGGGAGGGGGTCCCTACCTACTTACACGTGCTTAGCACTGGGGGGGGCGGGGGGGAGCGGCAGTGTCTTCCGCAGCTCTCTGCGGGGACCCCGGCCCCGGCGCACCGTTACCGCGCCCGAGGGGCGGGTGCCGGGCGGGCGAGGCGCTCAGCGGGGAAGCGGCCGCACCGAGAGCAGCCTTAATACATTGCTATTTCTGGCCGGGCGGCCAGAGCCGGGCAGGGGGCCGGCTCTGCCTCCCCCTCCCTCCAATGGCGAGGCCGCCCCCGGCCCCTCCTCGCCGTGACGTGCCGGCCCGGGGCAGAGGAGGCTCCCGAGCCCTTGGCTGTCCCTGCAGAAGCTGTAACAAAACGCAGACCCCCAGCGCTGGGCTAATGGAGGCAACTTAGACAGGAGCAGGCGCGGCCCCTCGTCTCTCGGCGCTGCCTGCTCCCCCCAGCACCGGGAGCGGCGCTCCCCGCCGAGCCACCGCCCGGGCGCCGCTGGGCTCGCGGGACTGCCTGGCTGCTTGCGCTGCCCCAATGATGTTACCGAGCCCCGTCACCTCCACTCCCTTCTCTGTCAAAGATATCCTCAACCTGGAGCAGCAGCAGGACCCGCACTATGGGGCCCAGCTCCCGCACCACCTGGAGCACCACTTCCACCCCGCCGCCTGCCTGCTGGCGGCCGCCGACGGCGCCCGCTTCTCCGACGGCGAGGAGGAAGAGGAGGAGGAGAAGCTGTCCTACCTGAGCTCCATGGCAGCTCCCGGCAGCCAGACGGACGCGCGGATCTCCGCCGATAACTACGTGCACGCCGTGCTGCGCGGCTCCTGCGAGGGCCCCGGCCCAGGAGACGAGCTGGACCCCGCGGCCCGCACCCCAAGTGAGTATCGGCCCCGCCGCGCTCCCCCGCCCCTCCAGTTCAGACGCGCCCGCGCTCGCTCCCAGCGGTGCGTTCCCGGCCCGTGGGGCACCGCTCCGCGGAGCCTCGGTCCCGACGATGCCACCCGGTACACGCCGCCGCGGCCGCGTTCCCTGGAAATGTCCAGCCGGGACTGGCACCTCGGGGCTGCCACCACCCTCTTCCGAGCCCTGCTCGCCGCCTCCCCGGGAAGCTCCTCCGCAAGGCCCCAGTTCAGAGCTGCCGCATCAGGCCCGCGCTCCAGAATACTGGTAGCGGAGCGCAGGGAACGGGGCGGGTTAGGCCCAACCCGGGAGAGAGGCGGTGAAGCAGGTGCCCGGCACCGTGCGCGGTGCGGCCCGGGGCTCGGCCCCGTGGTGCCGCAAGAGTAACACCGCAACTGGGCCAGAGGCACGGGGATGCGCTTGGCTCCGCCGTCCGATCCGGCCCATCTTAGAACACCGGCGGTGCCGGAGGCGGCCTGTCCCGGCGCTGCCTTCCCGCTTGCCCCGCGGTTGCCCGACGGGTGCGTAGCGGCGCGGGGCTTTTGCCCGCCGGTGGGGCCCGTCGGGAGCAGCCTGCGCCCGGTGTCACGATGTGCAGTCGTGACCTGTGCTCCCCCGTGCAGAGAGCTGCGTCCTGAAGAAGCCGCTGGATGCAGCGGAGAAAGCGGAGGAGGCGGAGAGGCCGAAGCAGCGGAGCCGAAGGAAGCCGCGCGTCCTCTTCTCCCAGGCTCAGGTCTTCGAGCTGGAGCGGCGGTTCAAGCAGCAGCGTTACCTGTCGGCACCCGAGCGGGAGCACCTGGCCAGCAGCCTTAAGCTCACTTCCACACAGGTGAAGATCTGGTTCCAGAACCGGCGCTACAAGTGCAAGCGGCAGCGGCAGGACAAGTCGCTGGAGTTGGGCGGCCCCACGGCCCCGCCGCCGCCGCGAAGGGTGGCCGTGCCCGTGCTGGTCCGCGACGGCAAACCGTGCCTCGGCGGGTCGCAGGGCTACAGCTCGGCATACAACGGGCCCTACTCCTACAACGGCTTCCCCGCCTACGGCTACGGCAACGCCGCTTCCTACAACCCCGGCTACGGCTGCACCTACCCGGCGGGCACCGGCGGCGCTTCCATGCAAGCCACCTGCAGCCCGGCGGCGGCCGCCGGGCCCTTCGTGAACGTGGGCAGCCTGGGGGGCTTCGGCGGTGGCGGCCAGCCGCTGCACCAGGCGGCGGCGGGGCCCTCCTGCAGCCAGGGCGCACTGCAGGGCATCCGGGCCTGGTAGCCCGCACGCACTGAGGGCCGGGACCGGACCGGCAGGACGGCCCAGCGGCTCCAGGGCCCCGTTATCATCCGCACCGCAGCCCGGCTGGTTGCCGCGCAATGCGCGCCCTGGAACGGAGGCGGCGGCGGGACGGCGCGGCGAGGACCCCGGCGCTCCCGCGGGTCGCGGTGCGGGACAGGCAGCGCGCGGAGCGGCGCGGCAGGACGGGGCTGCCCGAGCTCGCAGCGAAGAGCCGCCGACCCGCGGAGCCGCCGCGACGGCCGGGCGGACAGGGGCCGATCGCGCCGCGCCCGCGGAGCAGCTTTGCTTGTAAAAAGCCGACGGCAGGGCCCGGGGGTGTCGCGGCCCCTCTATCTACTCTGTATCGGTTACTGCCAGCGCCAGCTCGCCGAGTCAGTCAATAAACCAGGTGCAATATCCACCGCCCGCTACTCCTTCGCCCAGCGGCCGGTGCCCAGCGGCGGGGACGTCGCAGCGGCGTGCCCGCGGGGCAGGGCGGCCCGGCCGGCTTGTGAGCGTGCCAAGGGCGCTGAATGGGGCCGCGCAGCTCAGAGCCGGGCCCATTGTGGCGGCCGGGCCGGCGCTGAAAGGAGCCGCCGAGGAAGGTAGCGGGAATAGGCGCTTATTGGATTCGGGAACAAAAGGTGTGGCAGGGAGGCGAGGGACAAAGGGGCCCCGGCGCCGAGATTGACGGGCCGCTTTGCCCCCCACTGAGGCCCAGGCCCGGCGCTTTATGCGCGGGGGCTGCAGAAACGTGCTGGGTTTTGTTCCCCTTTCTGGGAGCGCAGGGGGAGAAGAGGGGGGTCCGCGGGCCGCTGATTAGGGCCGTCCGGGCCGGGCAGCCTGAATACCGGGGCATTATTGCTACATGTTCAGCCATTTCGGCTGCAGGGGGATGGGGTGGCCGAGGCCCCCGAACCCCGCTGGAGCAGCGGCGGGATCGCCCCGCGCCCGCCCCGTCCCGGGCCGCCCCGTCCCACCGCCACTGAGCCCTCGGAGCGGTCCTGGCCCCGCCGCCGCGGCCGTGCCTCTGCCGGGCAGGTCCTGCCGAGCGCCGCAGTCCCTCCCGGGTAGGGCAGGACACCCGCGGAGCACCGTCTGGCTCGGCCCGGATGGCGACGGAGACCAGCGGCGCCGTGAGCTCTCCAGCACCGTGCCGCACATCTCCCCGCCGCGGCGTCGGAGCTCCCGAAGACATTCCCAGAGGACGGGACGGACGCAGCCAGGGGCTCAGTGTGCCTCCTCTCTTGCTCAGCGAAGCCCACTGTGCCCTCCCCTGCCCTCTCCGTGCCTGCCGTTTCATGGTGCCTCCACCGCGAGCAGAGGAACCGGGCTTGTAGCCGCGGCAGAAGTAGCAGGTAAATACCGTTCACTCTGCTAAACCCTTTTACAGGGCACATTTCCACCGCACAATCTGAACGCGCACCCTTGGGGTTTGATGTTCAAAAGGAACCAGAGAAATTCCATTGCAACACCGCGGGGACAGAACGGGCAAGCAGCAGCCCCGGCTCCCAGCCCTGGCTCGGCGCAGCACCCTGCTGTCCCCCGAGCCACACCGAGACCGGCAGGAGAGGATGCGGCACACCCAGCCGATTGTTTGCTGGATGGCAGCAAGGTGTCGCGGGAGAGGAAGCCCAGGCTCGGCTCTTGGCTTTCGGAGATGAGTGGTTAAGGCCCTGTGGTCTCGTGGGTAGAAACAGGATAGCCAAGAACAAAGATAGGTAATTCTCTCTGCTGCAGCAGTCAGCCTGGGGAGATTTGTCTCTGCCATAGGAAGGAGTTGCATTTTCCTCCGTGTTCTGCCAGACTGTCTGCAGAAATAGACCAGTGTGAGTTCATGCCTTGACGTACAAGCCAGAGGAATTGTAACCACAATACAGGCTCCTCCAAAATCAGGGTGTATGAGGGGAGCTCTTGGCTTAGCACGTCCCCTCCAGGTGCGTGGCAGCTGGTTAAAAATCCACTGCATGACCAGCAGGACCAGAGATCCCAGGTGAGACGAGATCTCTGGTGTGGGAGATGCTGCCCACATCTGTAGACAGCATCTTTGGAGCAGGGATGGTGGAGTAAAGAAAAAGGGCACATGGGGACCCCATGGCCACGTTGCAAGAGGTGATGCCGGGCAGTACCAGCATTATCAATCAGTACAGCACCCAGCATGGCTGTAGGCAGGAGGTTAGTGCTGTGCTCACCCCAGTTGTGCCTGGTGACACCCGTGTGTGCTCCCCGGCCCCATGGTTCTCGTGGAGAGCTGGAGCAGTGCCTGGCCAGGGGAAGCCAAGAGGCCTGGCTGCAGGCTGATGTGCCATGGCGATGGAAGTTTCTAGATGTCCACCATAGCGAGCCCCATTCCTGGGACAGATCCCAGCTGTCCCACTAGCTCAGACTGAGGGGAGGGCAGCGGATTAGTGGGAGGGACCCCTTTGCAGACTCTCACCCAATACCCCCAAGCTGATGGGGATGACGAAGCGGCACAAAGGGCTGGGGGTGCTGGAGGGCCTGGAGCACAGCGGCAGAAAAGTGCTCCAAAGAGGAGGAACAGCCAGCGGAGACCGGTGGGAGGGAGATGGTGGGAGACCGCAGATTGGATTTGCTGCCTAGGGAGGGGAGACACAATGGAGGGAAGTCGCTGCATGGCTGCACTGGAGGCAGCACCCGCCTATGACGCACCCTGTCCCTCATGCCCCAGGGCAAAGCGGGGTGCTGCCGGTGGAGTGCGAGGTGCAGGGTGCTGGTGAAGATCCCTCCAGCATGATCCCGCTGTGGTTGTAGTGCAGGCAGAGGGACATAAGGGAGGGAGAGATGGAAGGGCCATGGTCAAGGGGCAGAGGGCATGCGTTGTTTCTTCCTGGTTGATCGGGGAATTTACTGCCGTTTGGGAGTCAGGGCAGGAAGGCGCTGATTGATTTCGGACAGGGACAAGATTCACTAAAACAATGCATTGACTTAAAGGAAAGGAGGGACTATTGGGGCAGCCAGACTTTAACTACCAGGCCTCAGGCCTGCTCTGTACATGGGCTCTGGTTCTGGTTTTTGTTTCCTTGCCTCTGTCCAGTGGTTCACAGGGAGGCTCTATCTAAACCCCAGTACTAGCTGGTTTTGTGTCCTCTTTGTCATGCTCAGGATCACAGGGGAGCAGTGCTGTTGCTTCTGCAGCACTGCAGATGTGCTCTCATTTCCTCTCCTTCCTGATATCTCTTTCCATCCCTCCTTTCACCCCACTGCGGTCATCCCCTCCCCCTCCCCTCATGTTTTTAATACATCACAAGCCACTTGCTGCCATCAGCAGTGTGCAGAGTGAGTTGCCTACTCCCAGCAAGGCTGGCCAGGCTGCCCATGGACCTGGGCAGACCCCAATGAGTTCTGGTCCCATCTACTTCAATTCGGGCACAGCCACTTCCTGTTCCCTTGGAGCCAGGAGCCCAGGGTCCCAGTGGTGTGCTGGGGTGGTGCTGGGCTTAGTCCTCTGTGTTGGATCTGGATTGGGGTGGCAGCTTCTGCTCTGCGGTGCTTCCCACTGCAGCTACCCCATGCCATGAGCTGTGAGCTGTCAGGGCTGCTTGGTCACTGGGGCTCCGCAGAGCCGTCAGGGCTCGGCGATGCTGGAAGCTCCTCCTGGCACTGACAATGCCAGGTTGTCACACAAGCGCTCTTCAGTGCCAATAAAGCTGTGGCCAGCCATGGATCAAGTAATTAAAATAGTACTTGTGCTGTGGAGCCTCCAGCGATGGTTTCTTCAACTACTTGTCTGCCCAGGAGGGCCAGGGACCTGCCTCCCTTCCTCTGATGAGACCCTAATGGCCACAGACCTCCCCTAGTCCTCCAGCCTGTCCCATGCATTGCAGGCTGACTACACCCAAGCATTGCGGGAGATCCCAGGTTTTAGGCGTTCCTTCTCTCCTGAGACGGGGCACAGTGCTGTGACACGGGACTCAGTGTCCCGTCTAGAAGAGGCTGGCATCTTGATCCCCTCCAGAGCAGAGCACTGCTGAAACCCAGAGCTCTGGTCCGAGCAGAGCCCCTCCCGGCTGCACCGTGCCACATCCCCCTGCCTGGGCAATACAATCCACAGACCCTTTTCCGGGACGACCCTCCGCTGGCGGTGCTGCTCCGTGTCTGCCGGGCTGCAGCTGGGACACGGCTCCGGGGCTGTCCCCAAGAGAGAGGCGGCACCGCCATCTATCGGCCAGCACCCGGGGACACGGGGGGACAGGTACCTTCTGTCCCTGCCACCCCCCCGCTGCTCCGCGCCTGCTCTTGGCTCGGGTGTGCTCTGAGCGCAGACATCCAGCACATCTTTGTGAGAGACCCAGCAGGTTTGTAGCTTTTCTCCCGTCCCAAAGAGGCGAAATCCATCCAACGTGGGAGCTCCCTCTTCCCCAGATTCCCGAAGCCCTGGCATTGCCTCCCGCCTTCAGCTGCCGCCTTCACCCCCTTCACCTGTCCTTGCCCAAGGACATCTATGACTGTTGTGATGTCCAGCGCCTGGTGCCTGTTACAGCTGCGTCCTCACCAGAGGGAGCTGTGTCTCCGATGGAGCCACGGACCGATTTTGGCCCGATTCCCTACTCCCTCCCCTTGGCAGTGCTCCCGGCAATGTACTGCTCAGGTCTAATGGGCACCCAAAGGTGCAGGGACAGAGAAGATTGCTTGGATTTACATGTCTCCTGGCAGCCACTAGCCGCGCCAGGCATTATCTGTGCCCTGCCACCAGACTCGTATGTCAGCCCGCATGCCAGAGCTATCCTGGGGAGGGAGGATTGCAGGGAATTGTTAGCTGGTGCCACCGGTGCAATCCTAATCTCCTGGGCCAGGGAGATTAGGGCTGAAGTCCCCCCCACCCTCTGGAACAGCCCTTGCCTCAGCTGCATTTCAGACTGATCCCAGAGCAGGCTCTGGTGTCGCAGCACACTTGAGCTGTCCCACTGCGCTCACCCATATGCCCTTGGGAGAGTGACCCCACCTGCCACCCCCATCCAGCCCAGGAGAGGCTCCCAGTTCTGACACCTCCCAGTGCAGCTGGGCAGCATCTTCCCAGGGCCAGTTTGCAGCCCCTTGTTGGAGAACTTTAACACTAAGTACGGGTGTAACCAATACCTCCCCATCAAACCAGTCACCTA